TTATTGGGTCAAATGAAAATGTATATCTAGACCAAACCTCGCAGCTCTCATCTTTTCACTCCGTGCAAGCTGACTTTCTTAGGGACCCCATCAGAACGCCACCAGCCAATAGAGGGCTGCCACACTACAGCAACCATTTGATGTATTTGGAATGTCCACCAACCTTGGAGTCCAGCGCTCCATCACCCTAATTCCGAAGGATTATACACATGGGGCTGGTCGCAATCATGAAACTTTAAATAAAAAAAAGCTACAGATCACCTTCCAGTAATGTGGCGGCAGACCCAGGGGAAATCGACTCGGTAATTCCACGGCGCACTAAAGACATGGCATCCCTGGCAGACGGGGATGAACTGCTGCAAGGCTGTCTGGTTGCAGGCCGTCTCCCCAGCTGTATTTACAGCATCAAGGGGAGCTTACCTTAAGGGTTGGTACCATTCAGCCCATACAGCCTAAAAGATAATAATCGCATCTACTGCAAAATAAGTGCCGCCATTCACATCACAAAATTGTGCGAAAGCAAGGCCAAAATTTGTGCAAATTATGAGGTATACATTATTTTTGGCCCTTTACGACCACGTGGCATTTTTTTTTTTTTCACGATCGCCCTTTTTCTCCTTTCCTTTGGTCTCATTTAAAGCCACGTCAGACAATCGAATCACCCGAGCAGGGGCACAGCTTCCCTTAATGGAGTTGCTCCCTCGCTGGCCTGAAACACTGCAGAATGTAACTCGCTAGCACAGGAATATCGAGAGAGCGACATCATGCCGGTGTGGCTAGCGAGAGAGCGACTTCATAGGAAAAGGCCGGCGGTTCGTTAGTGACCCTGCCGCTGACGGGCTGTCAGGATGGCTCATCTGACTCAGTCCTCGCACATTAAAAACACATTTGGGCTCACGTTGCTCTTACAAAGTGCGCAATAAAACTCATGCAAAAAACACCACCTGAAACACATAAAAGCAAATTAAAAACGCATGTTACAAAACATTTATATCTCAGCACAGAGGTCTACATAGCACCTAAAGGAGTAGGCCACCATACAAAGACAATCTGATCTCTACAAAGCTCTGGCCACGGACCAAAATCTTTATTTCAAGTCAATCTGTAATGAAGGGTCTTGGTGCTGTATGATTTTAGCACTGGACCTGGATGAACTGAGCGCATAGGCTTCTGTCGCAAGTTATTATGCAGCAGGAAAGGGGTTAAATATGAGAAGGGGGAGGGTAAATGTTAAAGGGAAAGCACTCACCTCATAGTTCTAGCCGACCTGTGACAATGAGACTGTCACAGGTCGGCTCAGTAGATCGGGAGGTGAGCGAACACATACCGGCGTTCGCTCACCTCTCGATCCTGTCACGGCTCTCTGCCGTGACAGGGGAGGGGCTGGATTCCCCCCTCCCCGCTCCGATCCGCCAGCGCTGACTGGCGGAACGGACGGGG